TTCTTCTTCTTCTTCTTCTTCTTCTTCTTCTTCTTCTTCTTCTTCTTCTTCTTCTTCTTCTTCTTCTTCTATCAGTTTTTATTCCTATGCCTAACCTCTTCACAGAGTGGAAAACCTTGCTATGCAAGTTTGTTTGGTGTGAGGTGCTTTGGGTTTTTCTCTTCCCTCCTCCTTTTCTCTTTACATTCACCTCTTTTCTCCTTCCCCCACCCCAGTAGTGGGAATTGAATCCAGAGCCTGCATGCTATGCAAGTGTTCTTCCCCTGGGCTCCATCCCACTCCTATTTTATTGTTTAATTCTGAGTCAAGCTCTCACCAAGCTGCCCAGGCTAGTCTCCAACTGGAAATCGTCTTGTCTTGGCCTCCCAGGTAGCCGGGATTCCAAGAGTGTGCTGGAAAGCCTGATCTCTTGCAATTCTGGGTTATGTATGTTTTCCTGGGTGCTTTTAAGACCTCTTTGTCTATTTCAAGTTCAGGATTCCTCAAGGGAAGTGTCTTGCTGGGCTGACCTCTGTCCTAGATAGAGAAAGTGACCTGTTTGTTTCCTTAGGGAAAGGCTTCCCGGATTACCCTTTTATTCTTGGAAGACAGAAAGCTCATGGAAACATGTAACTGGGAGTGACACTGTCATAAAGGAACTTCAGGAGAGGGCTAATCTCACGTACTGCGCACCCAATGAGAGTAGCCACCTCCTTCAGTGAAGTCTCCCTTTTGTCTATTGCTGCACTGTTCTATGTTTTGCTTTCTTTTGTTTCGGATCACAAGCACTTTATTGAAAGTGCAATAAAACTTGGTGAAAACTTAAAAGAAACAGAAAGTACTGACGCCTCAGGTCAGGCACAGCCTTAGGTCCTGGGTAGACTCCTCTAGAAGCTGTAGCCGGGAGGCAGCTGGAGAGGTCCGATTACAGCCTCCAGCCAGAGTCCCCTGTGCCCCTGGTGCCCTGCCTCAGAGGTAGCTGCAGATCTTTATGAAGACCCTCACTGGCAAGACCACTGCCCAGCGACACCACTGAGAATGTCAAGGCCAAGAACAAAGACAAGGAAGGTGTCTCCCCAAAGAGTGGGGGCCGATCTTTGCCAGCAAGCAGCCGGAGGATGGGTGCACCCTATCCAACTACAGCACCCAGGAGTCCTTTTTGGTCTTTCTGGGGAGAAAAAAATGAATCTTCATTTTCACTTAGTGGATTGCTATCTTTTGAAAACTTGTGAAGTTTTCTTCTTTTTCCAACTGTTTCTATAAGCAATAATATTTTAGCTCACACAAGAAAAGGGCAGAGGTAGAAATCTCCGGCTGCTATGATTGCCCCAAAAGAAGAAGTCATTTCAGCTTCCTTCTTAGGGTGGACGATATAGCTCAGCAGCATAAGCGCCTTCCTGGCAAGCACAAGGTCCCAAGTTCAATCCCTAGTACCACAAAAAGTAACAACAACCCCACCCATATTATTATATCTTCCTATTATTAGATCTTCCTTCCTCAAGGCAAGCTTAGAGTCCAAAATGGCTGCTTGGGTGCCAGCCATCACTGATAAGTTGAAGGATGGAGGAAGGAAAAAAGGAAGAAGGACAAAAATAGACCCTTCTCATCTGAGTCAACTCCAGTTAAGCAACTTTCTTTGGAGGTCATACACTATTTCCACTCCTGTCTTCTTGGACAGCGGTCACAGGATCACGCTTGGCAGCAGAGAAGATATGGAATGTAACTTTTTACTCTGTGTAGCAACAAGTCCAGCTACAACTTGGGCTCCTGTTGTCAGTGAGGAAGGGGACGGCTAGGCAGCTGAGGCTACTGTCATGTGTTCCCTCAATGCTCTCGGCCCTCTGCTTCTGGGGGCTGAAATTCTTGGGTCTCTCCCCAGGACTCAGTGTTTCTCTGTAACTTCTCACCCCACCATCCATTTGCTCCGTCTTTAAATACCCGCAGTCCTAGGCCGGCCATCTGTGGTGTTTGCTCTCTCCTTTGGCCCATTATTGAGTTGATTTTTTTAAAAAAATTATGAATCTCATGCCTTTAAACTCTATCCTTCAGTTCTTTGCAGCACAGGAGGTAGGTATGCAGGGCTCCGAGCCTGCCTGCTGGGAGCAGTCCTGGCCATCCCGGATACAGGATCCAGGATCTGGTACTTAGCAGCCCTGTTCCATTTGCTCCTACTGTGCGGAGATTCTAACAGCAGTCTGTATCCAGTTATTCATGTCTGTGTTCTGGACAGTCCCTGGCTTATGGAAGTGGTAAAAACCATGCCAGCCACTAGCCAGGCACGGTGTCACGCTACAGTAATCTCAGAACTTAGGAGGCTGAGGCAGGAGGATCCTGTCAAGTTCAAGGGCAACATGAGCTACCTAATGAGACCATTGGGGGGGGAAAAAAAAGAAAGAAAGAAAAAGAAAGCCAGCCCCTAACATAGATTCTCTGCATGAATATAAGATATCTGGTTGTGTTCTTTGCTAAGATTAGTGTGCTTAAATATTTTACCCTGGAAGAGAGTAGGCTTTCTCTGTGATTGATTACTCAGGGCTGTGTCCACAAAGCTCATGTGCTGAAACCTAATTCCTAAAGAGAGGGCTTGGAGGCGGGAACTCCAGGAAGGGCTGGGTCATGGGGCCTTGGGCCCTCAGGAGAGGGGTGAGTAACTGACCACTGGAATTCCAGTGCGGGGC